TATTTACATAAACAGTTGTTTCTTTTTTGTGGTGGGCTATTTTTCCTTCCAAACCGCCTGAAAGCCTTAACACCACCGCTTAAGTCACTCCCAACAATGGCAGCGGGAATTGCAGACAAATTCATGAATTTTTCAACATATGAGAACTAATTAAATTGAGGCCTTTTTGAAATGAATATAGTGTGAGGTACTCACCAGCCCTACGCACACAAAGAGGCTGTAATTCAGCGATTGAATTCTGGCTTGATAGCATTCAGCCTTTTACCATGGTGAGCTATACAGATGGCCGGGGTTCCTTTTCATTCTTTTCTTTCTTAATGGCAAATCTCATTATGGCAGTTATCAGTGTATGGAGAACAAGACGGGAACGATGGACCACAAAGCCACGCGGTGCAGGAATCTGGTACCTGTCTGCTGGGGAACATGATACTTACTGTTAGGTCAGATCGTGATGAGAATATAAAATTAGACTTTGTTTACATTGATTATTGTTACAGCACATACTGTAGTTTAGTACTTTCAGTTTGATCGACAATAAGCTAATAGGATAGACCAAATATATTTCAGGAAGTTAAGGGTTAGAAATTGACCTCTTAAAGGTTCAGTGTATAACATTCAGGAGGATCTATAATATTCATAGATATGTTTTCATAAGTGTATAATCACCTGAATATAGGAGGTTTTGTTACCTTAGAATGAGCCAATTATATGTATATATATATATAATTATTATGTATTTATTGTTGGGTTTTGGTAACAATTAGAAAAATACTGAATACCACCACACTTATCACTTACTGGAGGTTTTGGGTGACAGTTAAAGAACAAATCAATAGTTTAAGTAGTTGAGATGAGTCATAAGTGGAGTTTGATCCACTCAGAACATTTCAACCACATTTATAAATGGACATCAGCACCAGCGCTAATGATTCTGAATGTGTCGGAACAACCAGCAAGGAGACTGAACATTTACTTCATTTATTTAAACACAGTGTAACATCACACGGAATAAATAACTTCCAACTTCACTAAAACAAAATACTGGCAGACTTATCGTCACAATGCATGCTGGATAAGGTCACTTACAAATCAACTTGCTACAAACTCGCTCCTCTCCCGATTCACGGCTCTCTGGTCCCGGCCTGTATCTTCATCCTCCTTGGAGTCAGAGTCCTGGTTGGAGCCTGGCCTCCATCTGCGGTTCCAATGCCGCCCCTCGCCCGGCTCCGGTTCTGGTGCTCATTCTCCTATACTAGCTCCGATGCTAACAGTGTAAACAAACCTCTCCCAATCCTTCGAGCTTCCAGTTTAGCTAATGGGAATAATTACTGTGTTACAAGAGTTATTTTTCTGCGACAACCCAACAAATGAAAACTAAGACTCTTCAGCGACTAACGGTTTAGTCGACTGTTTGTACAGGGACTCCTTGAGTATCTTTACTTCTTAATAGCACCACCTCCTGGTGAGTCGAGGTACGCACGCCTGAATACTTGCGTAATGCCTGATATCATCGGCATTATGCAAGGGCCCACCCTACTTGCTGTCTGATTGGCTTGTGTTTTTTGCCTTTTGTTGGTGTCGTTGATTAGGTTTAGGCATGAGGAGTGAAATGGTTAGAGTTAGAAAAACAATACCTGGGTAACTGCGTCTCTAGTAAACACATAGCTTGCTTAACACTGAGAAAACATCCTTGTTGAGTACATGTAAATCATTTATTGTTAAGGTAAAATAAATTAAAGGTAACAGTTCTCAAAACTAGTAATTAAATTACACTCATATGCAGCATTTTTCCAAACGTATTTAAAATGTGTGAACAATAAAATGCATTTTCTTTATACAAATGTTGCTCAGTTTTCTTCCACTGAAGCAAATTACCTGTGAAAACAGCTGACGTATTATAAACAATTACAATCCATCGATTATCGAAATGCCAATTAATTTTGGGGCTTACATTTTTGTATAGATATAAAGTCAACTTAAAGACAACCTGGAATTATTTCACCAATACTTAAAATACAGCACAAAGTAATTATTAGTTATACGGACAGTTAGCACAAAGAGTTTGGTTTAATTCATGTTAATGAGTGCTGAACCTTCTTTTATTAAGATATGTTGTTCGGATTTAACGTGACTCTATTTCCTTTATTATGTTCGACCCTCCAGGTTCTCTGCAACTCATTCTCCTGACCACTGCTATAATTAACACTGCCCATTTCAAAATATTGTAAAATAAATTAATAATAAGAAGCCTCTTACATGACAAAACCTCAATAAAAGTATAATTTTACTTTCTACATTGTTCACTCTGTTACACTTAAATCTAATAAGTCATGACTTAGACTTGTCTTGGAATAAAAAAGAAGTTGTTGCTGTCATGGCCGAGCAGTTTCTATCTAAAGTAAACTCTGAGGACCGAGGCCCGAGATAAGAGTGCACCACATCACCCCGTGGCGTTAATGATCGTCCGCTGTTACAACACAAAGACAGTCAAGTAGCAGATAGAGCACTGAAATAATTTAAGCAGTGCTAAGTGGTCTATTGTCATTCAAATGATAAATTATGCTTGGCAGAGGTTTTAGAGTCACTTTTACAAAGCGTTGCTATTGTTTGTGTCGAGACAAGGTTTCAAGGAGTCGGAATAGAGGGAATTACTTGGGAGAGTTTGGAGTTTCTTGGGGTTTGGACACAAATTGGTTCTCCGCTCATCGGGATTGTTGTTAGACAACTCTCTAACATGGCAACAATAGTTCCTACAAAGCTCAGACAACAGTGTGTGAATGAAGATTTAGAGTCGACACGGAGGTCAGCGTTAAAGCCACGAGATGATGGAAAGTATAGAATTGTATTCTTCACCAATATGCAATATTATAAAGGTTCTTGACCTTTAGGTGTATAAGTGTGTCAGTTATTTCCGTCTGTATATAAAGTATTTATTGTATCTGTAACTACACTTTCATCAGTACTTATTATTGACATTTATTTTCTTGTTTTTATTTGCATATTTGGTGTTGAGGTAATCCAAAAGTAAGAGAAAGCAATAAAGTTACGTTACTTTATTATTGTGATACTTGAATTAAGTTACTGACTAAATTTTTTAACAGGTAATTAGTATTTGTATCGGGTTACATTTTTGCAATGATCTATGTGTATAAAGGTTACTTCAGTGTACCTTGAACTGCCACTGTTTTGTTGCAGTGTAACTACAGTATTACCAGTATTAATTGATCAATAACAAGCCTGTAGCAGTTTCTTCCCTCTTCTAATCAAGCCAGTGTTTGTAATTACCTGCTCTACAGTAGGTGAGTGTTCTTCATAGGAACTCAGCAATAAATTACCACACAAGCCAGACTTACTGAGGTCTTTCCTGGGACAAATCAAGGTAATGTTAATTACACCATTAAATTCATTTGCTCAGTGTAAATCCCCCCCGGCTGCTGTAGATCATGCTGTGTCCATTCTTGAGATACAATAGGATTTCAGGTCCGTGTGTGTGGAAATAAAGCCAGGTCAGTGTAGGTTGTACAGTAAAGGCGTGTTTATACTCTATAACTTCAAATGAACACATTCATTGTTAAATACAGACGACAAATCAAAGCTTTAACATCTCAATATATCCCCATATGTTGCACAACTTAACCTGGTTGGCCAAATAAATGAAATCCTCTCCTCTCTGTTCAGGTACTTGGCACTGCTTAAGATGTCATTACCTCTGTTGGGACTGTTAAATGGTTCCATAAAGAAAAATGAAATATTCATTAACTTGGTTAATAATTCATTCAGATAAAATGCAGTATGTGGTTTGCATAATGAGCGCATGCTCAGCATATTTGTGCTTGGGAATGTTTTTATTTCGCGATAGCAAAAGAAGAAATTAATTGAAAGTTCATTTTCAATTTTTTGTTCTATAAGTTATGCTAAATGATAAAATAGATGCTTTCCAAGCAGTTTCCAACTAAGAAACAATTAAGAGGGTGTATAAGTAACCCACATACTTACAGTATGGGTTTTAATTATGGAGGAAGTGCATTTAAACAGTCTTTATCAAATTGTAAATGTTAGCTTGACCTAATTCAGTTTGGAGGAAAGTGTGTAAAGCACTTTGTACTTTGCTGCCTGAAAATTGGAACCATAACCTCTGCTTATCGTGTGACAGCGGCCTGCAGAATGAAACACTATATTCATAATTTCATGAGAAGTTTTGTCATTACTGAAAATATCCAGTTGCTGCTCCAGATGTCACATCAAAAGTCTCCTGACTCTAAGACCGGAGTGGTAAAGTGTTCCCACACCGCCACGCTGCAGTGTAAACACCGCTCATCCAAACACTGTCAAACTAATTTCCTCACACCGCAGAGGTTCATTCTGGCTTTCAGATAAATCAATTCTTTCTCTAATTATCAATTGTGACACCCATAATCACTGGAAGACTGTAGCGCTGAATAAATGGCATGTCTTTTGTGTTATAATTCTGTGCATCTTGACAAACATGACCCATTAAACAACCCTGTGGCCTTTTTCAAGAGCGATGATTACACTAATTAAAACTGCAAAACATCTGAGAGGGCTACAGACGTGCCAGAATTAAACAGGTCATTAAATCAGCCAAGGAATATGTCAACATCCACACTGCCTGTGTCGCTCCCACAATATGTTACTTTGAGAAGAAGCGAACAAATACACCTCTTGTGTACTGAAACATGCTCAGAATTTACATATCACATGTGGAAAGTTACATTTGGGTTTTTTTCTACAGTGGCCCAGAGGTACAAAACACAACATTCAACGACAATATTTCACAATTTTCTAATGATGTTTTTAACATCAAATGAATTGGTGTATTAAATGTGTGTTTTTTTCCTGTAATGTTGTCGTATTTTCTGTGTTTTGCTTCGTTTCTTTGCCCCTCAGGGCCACCGTACAGACATGTGAAGTGAAATTTGCTGTTAAAATGACACATCCCCCTTTAACATCTACAGTGAAGGTGAAACATTTTACACATCTAATATTGATTAAACCTTTATTTACACAGGTAAAAATTGAATGAGAGCAAGAGTAACAAGTTGTAGTAACACAATAAAAAGCAACATTATCAGCGGTTATCAAACACCTTGAACAACACACAAACAAAGCAACGTTACCATGTCTGATCTACACTTTGCGTGAGGTGTTGTGAACATTGTTGCCTTTATCGGCTGCATCTCGGAGATCTCTCCTTTGAGTTAATCCTCTTCTAGCCGGCGATAGCAGCAAGTGATAGTGCTGATGTGTCGTTACCAGCAACATATGTTCCCTTTTCATACAACAGCAGCTTTCCAACCATTTAATGGGATTGCTGTTGTTGTTTTTTTCCTTCACCCACGCTCCGCACAACAAACACTTTTCCTAGAAGTGGTTTCGACATGTGCCCAAGGAACTCAGCGTTTCAACACAAATCAGCCTAGGTCAGGGGGCTAAGATTGGCCTCCAGTAACAGACTATTGAAAACAGCTCCTCAACAGGACGAGAGGGGGAAGTGGATTTTCCAGCTTAAAAGCAGAATCATCTCTGCTCAAGGCATTATCCTGTGTTCCAAGAGATTAATAAAGTGAGATGCTATTGATACGGCGCTGCTCTTGGATCAGCGCTGGTCATGTTCACTGACAAGTATTAGCTTAAAAAAAAAAAAAAAAAAAAAAAAAAAAGGATGCATATGGAAAACACATATTCAGAGATACTGTTTGTCTTTTTGTTTTGAGTCTTCCACTGAGATGTACACGTAATATCAAACAACCCTCTTGAAAAGGTCTTATTTCTGAGAAGTGTGTTTAAGAAATACACCTACATCCAGCGATTCTCTGTAAATAAAATCAAAGACTATTAAACCCTTACTGAGTTATCCAAAACCTTCGAAGGCCCTAAAGTTCGGCTACTTTTTTGTCCCGTTAATGAAGAATCTCTGATGTTTCCTCACTCCTCAGTCAAGACATATTTTCATCAAAGCGAAGAAATCCCACGTCGTACTTTGATGTGCTTAACACAGTTTTAACTCGCGTCTCATTACAGAGATAATTAATAGTTTAATTAGCACCAATACTCACCAACTGACAACTTTGCAGACACTCAGGTCATGTGAGTCACTTGAATGTAAAATCCAAAAAGCTTGATTTTTCAAACTGTGTCTTTATACCAATGTCGTATCTAGGTCCCCACAGCTCAGGTGTTTTGTATCATAATTGCCTACAAACTTTTATTTCTGATGTTTAGCTAATTTCTTTCCTCGAACAGATTCAGCCTACACAGCAAAGCTATGAGAATACTGCTGCTCACCAGGGGACAAAGTGCCCAAATATGTGCAGTGCAAACAACTTAGGTGGATTAATTTTAATTCTCATTACCTTGAAGCAAAGCAATCATTTTTTCTATGGTTGGAAAAAAAAAATATATATAAGCACGCATTATGAATAAAAGTAATTATCATTCTTGTGCTTTTTCTGCATGCTGTTTGCAATTAACACTTCCTGGAATCTGTATGAGCATTTCAGAAGCGTGAGTAGCTGCAGAGGCAAACGCTGCAGATCAAAAAAGATCAAAGTAACAGCGAGAGGAATCGACGGTTTTAGACGAGTTTACAGATGCTGAAGAGAGCTCATCACACAATGAGTGGCGAGTGTAGGCTTGTGCGCGTGCCTCTTGTTCGGGCTTAGATACAATAGCACGTCTCCCAGCATGGGTGAGGGCCAACAGCAAAGCCTCTGTTTCATGTCTCACCCCCCTCCTCCCCTTCACAAAACGTTCACTCAACTTCCAGTTTACAACTGCTCACAACTGTTTACACCAGCCAAATTTCATTTTCTACTCCCAAATCCTATCGCACATTATCCTGTACATTGCATTAGGGCCCTAATCTTTCCTTTCTCTTCCTCGGAAGAAGAAAGGAGCGCCTTCATGATTAACCCACTTTACAGCAATAAATAAACGCATCATCCAGTAATGTACACCAGATTTAATTTGAAGGGGGGAAAAAAAAGGCCAGAACGCTCAAATCACTGAAATGTAATGAAAAATAACACAATGCAGACACCAATGGGCGCCTTAGGAATTAATTTGAATGCTCCATAATTTTTTCTCTCTCTCGTACTCTCAGGATTGGTTTTTCCTCAGCCAACTATGTGACTTTTCCCCCCCTCACACTCTGCTGTTGTGAAGTCTTCAAAATATACAAAGAGGATAAAAAGAAACAGGATCAGTCCGCCATAAAAAAACACTACTTTTATCAAATTAACTTTAAAATAAATAAATAAATCACAGTCCTCCTTTCCCTCTGCGTTTGTCACATGAAGCCCATGTTGCTTTTGGTTTCCCATCGTCTCTTAGCCTCAAACCTGCAACACGGAAACAAAACATTTAGTTACTGAACCCTTTATGAACACAATGAAGCTGTCAACTTCAATCTCTGCAGGTTTCATTAGCTCCATCTTAACTGTACTTGAACCCAGAGAGTGTGTCACACATGGCAGATAGGATGGCAAACATAAACACGAGGACGGAGAGAGACATCGTACCCCCAGGCGATGTCCTTCCTCCTCTTCTGCGCTTCCCTCAAAGCTTCCTCTTCCTGTTTGCGTTGCACAAAGTCACGGCAATCAGCGGCTTGAGCGATATTCACAGCCAGCTATTTAGAGGCAGACAGAGGAGAGGATCATTAGAGAATGGAAATCAGTCTGTGGCATGAAAAAGATTTCTGACTGACGGCGGCTTCTCATCAGTGTCTCTGCTTCCATGTGCTGCTGCCTCCTCCACACCACAACAGAACCGTTATAGAGCTGAACCAACACATGAATACTGGCCTGCAAGCCAAAATTTAACACCTTTCGCAAGACATTTGGTGACTGGTGATTGAGTAGAACGTACAGTATGTGACAGAAAGTAACCCATACATACATCATGTATATCGTAAGTTTAAACATCATACAACAAGATGAAGAGGCAATGTTAAAATATATTAATAAAACTATAGTAAAACAGAACAAGGTGTTTGAAGTGTAAAAATCAGGAGGCTTTACATGTGTAACAAACATATGATGTATTAAATACATATATTAAGTCTAGTTGGCTCTCCAACTGCAATTCTACCGATAATCAATTCTTCTCCTTGAGACATCTGGTGGTTTTGAATTGTTTCTATGTCAAAATTAAGTTCCCTGCTTCTGAAATGGACATTAAATCAGAAACTCACTTAGTTAATCAACAGAAAATGTTGATAATCTATAAATTTTAGTGGTTAAATCAAGAAAAGCGCCAAATATTTACTGAATCCATCTTCTCATTTTGAATATTTGCTGGTTTTCTTTGTCTTCTTTGATAGTAAATTGAATATTTGGGGGTTTTTGGACTGTTGGCCAGTCAAAATGTCAACTAACGCTCTCTATTATCTGATATTTTAGAAACCAAACAATTCATTGAAAATAATTGGCCGATTAATTAACAATTACTAGGTGAGATTGAGATTTCTGAAGCGCTTCTTCAACCCTACAAGCCATTTTATCTGCAGCACCCAAAATATTGGAAACAGCTCTGGAGCAGTAGCCAGTGGAAATAAAGGTAGAGTGTATATGTGTGTGTGTTTTGTGTGGGCGGTGAAGTGCCCCACAGCTCCATAAATTACAGGAACATTGTTTTATTAAAATTATTCTAATCTATTTTGCCTTTTGTTTGAGGTGTTTTAAGTAGAAGTCATATTTTTAAGCTCCTGGCTTATAGTCACTCCCGCACATTGTTTCTTTTTTGATTACTCCTTTTTTTTTTCTTGTTTAATGTGCAAATGAAACAACTGAATAAATAAACAATGAGTAGCGATGTTCAGCATTTTGCAAATTTTTTTCCTCTCGTCTCGAAAACATTGCAATGGCATTTTTCACTCATCACCAGTGTAAAAGAGACTTTTTCTGTTTGGAGTACTGCAGGCAGTCCCTGAAATCAGAAGTGAAGAGAATGACCGTGACTGCAAGAAGCAAACATTCAAATCCCAGGGAAGACGTATGTATTGTGAAGCAGAATAATCCCAATAACCCCAGTCACACAGAAGCACGGGAAACAAAGAGAAAAATCCTGCCTCCTCTGTCACTCCTGAGATAGGTTTATTATTCAAGCAAAGGCAAACTTTGATAAACAACTTGGAACAATTTCACCAAACCTTTGGGTAATTCTCTGTAATATTCACAGTACAATCAGGGGGGAAAGAAAGTCTTAAGGTAATGAAGAAATGTGCCACCACTGCGCCACTTGAAAAAAAAAAAAAGACCTGCTGGAAAAAAATGTTTCAATTATAATTAAGTGGGATAAACTTTATTAGAAAGACTGAAACTAAAATATCTCCTAATGCATGCTGGGATTAAGCAGGTCAGAGCGAGCAGGCAGGAAAAATTAAACTCTAAAGGCTTTTTATCACCATATTTCAGGAACCAAGGGTGTAAAATGTTCTAATTTGGGATACATTAAAAGCCATAAAGGTCTTTCAAAAAGATTAATGGTACTTTGCTTGGATTTAAGATAAGGGCTTCGGCTGGCTGCAAGTACTGGGCTCCGGCTGGGCCCTCAAGGCATTCATCTATACAGTCACTGGAAGATTTGTGAAAGCGTCTGCACAGCCTGAAGCGTACATACTATGACAGTTCTCCAGTTCTTTGCCATTTTTATAGGTTTTAAATTCCTCAAATCATGTTTTCTCCTCTTAAAGAGAGTTATAACGGGTGATTGCTCTTACATTTGCTGTAGATTTTGCGAGCAGATAAAACCACTCCAGGGTTTTCCCCGCTTCTCGTTGGTGGTAGGTGCTGAATGCTGTGCAGTGTCTGCGATGCACGCTGAGATTACACACAAGACGTTTATTAAATTGTTGACAAATCTGAGAACGGCTCCTGCTCTCTGTGTTTGCAGAAAGAAAAAAGAAAAAAAACACTCATTGGCTCATTCTGGGAGCAAATCAAATGAAACTGCATGATGCTAAATGGTTTCATTTGGAGATTTACAGGCAGAGATTTTCCTTTTTTTCTACACCAGGATTACCCACATTAACCTGCTCTCCTGTGGGGTTGCATTTAAAATTCAAAAGGTCTTGAAAACACGCCTTCCCAAACATTCCAAAAGCAAAATTAAAACCCACTTCCATGCCCCTCATTTCCCCCTCTTTTAAATTCACAACATAGCGTTTACTACATTTAAAGCATTAAAGGTCTTTAATTTTTTTCCTCTTTTTTTTTTTTTTTATCAGTTTAGTCTACAATCCCTGATTGTCTTTACTGGGGCTCAACATTAATGTCAACCAAGTTACCTAGGAGACAGAGCAGATCAAAGAGACAAAAAAAAAAACCCTCAAATGTCTGATTAATCAAGCCTGCAAACAGCTTATTTCTTTTAGCCTGCATGCAAGTATGAAAATGAGATTCCGAGAGCAGTACATTGTGCAGATTTGTTCATTCTTATCTGAACAAAGCCAGCGGCAGCTTATTTCATGGATCACTGGCACTGTCAGCGCTGTGGCGCCGAGCAGGTGACGGCTCCTCTTTCTGTGGCGAGAACAAAATTAGCAAAAAGTCGGCACAAATTAGCCTCTCATATTTTCAGTAATATGACATTATTTTTCATTTACTTTTTTGATCCACTTTTCAGGATTTTTTCCCCCTCCCCTCGTGTGCATCTTAGTGCCAAATCCTTTCACATCAGAGGCTGGTGAAAAATAAGAATGAAAGTACAAAGCTGGAATAAAAGCAGGAGACAGGAAACCTCGTGCATTCTTTGTTTATGTGGCTCCTAAAAACCAATTCTGCCCACTCCATCACATATTTATATAGAATTAAGTGTCCATCACAACCATGTTTCTGTTCCTTGTGTCTCTCTTGTGTGGCCTGGGCACAGCTCTGTTAAAAACAAGGTTTATTCAGAGGATTAATACTCTGACCTTTGGAAGATTTGAGGGCAAAAAAAATCATCATGCACAATGCTGGCACTGCAGCAGCAGCAGCTTAAGGCCACTAGGAGGGTTAAGTCAATAGCACCGTTTTCTGTTCATTCATGTTTGGGTCGTCATGGAGATTCAAGTGGAGACCCAAACATGGGGCCTCAATCCAACAAAAAGAAAAAAAAGAGAAAATCTGCATTGCTGCTGTATAAGCCATAAACCAAGTCTATCTTCATAACAGTTTCACATTTGTGTGTCTCTTCTATTTCATCATTTCTGAGGTGTTTGATGGATGAAAGAAGAAGCATAAGGGAATCTTTATGAGCGGCGCAGGGTTTACAAAAACACTGTGGCAATTAAACAGCAAGTGCAAAAAGACAATAGCTCAATGAAAGATGAGAAATATATCTCCATGTGGATAAAGTGTTAAAGCTCCTATTAACAATAAGAAATAAATGATGGCTTTAAGGAAGAAATGGCCTTAAACCCATTCATAAATTTCCTATCCAGGAAGCCTCTTCCAATTAAAACGTGTGAGAGGTGGATTAACAAGGGCTATATGGCTTTGCCTCGCTAAATCACCTCCCCGAGCTGCTCTGCTGCATTTGACGTGTAAACGATTAATGACCAGCCTAATTCCCTTATCACACTACCTTAATGCCTAAATAATGTGGCCTTAGTCAACTTTGGAAAGCAGGGCTATATAAGAAAGGAATGAATATCAGATTAAGCAGCTTGTGTGTTATTTCAGCATAATTTCTTAGAACTGAGGCGGAGGAGGGTGAAAAATGTGTTTCTGGCTGCAAAGCCTCAGTGTTGCAGCAACAGTGGGGAGGTCAGAAGATCAAGAGGTCAATCAATACCACCCATATCGCATTCAAAGGGAAGGAATACAAAGTTTCATTCAGTTACTTCATTGTATATAATGGACTGGATTATGTAGACTCAAAGCAACACAAAGGATGCAAATCAACTAGAATGTCAGGTCTTGGATAAGACAATAGATAGAAGAGATAGAACATCACTTGGTGTGAATATAAAGACCTCAAGGGTTAAAAAATCCAATCGTAGTCTATTAATCGATTATCAAAATTGGTGCTGAGATTCTTTCCTTAATTGAAAATAGAAAAAAGATCCAATAATCCAGCAAAATATAGTTAAAGAATCAAAAGATGCCCCCTGTAAGTGTTATACTACTATATTATATTATATTATATTATTAAATTATTCTTCCTGTTGCAGTTTACTGTGGTAGTTGTTTGAGGTCAAGCTATTTTTTTTTACCAATTTATATCAGGATTGACTAATGATTATTTTTCATTGCTGCTTGATTAATTGTTTGCCCATTACAGTTACATTTTTTAACATTTAAATATCCAAAAATTATTCAGTTTTACTATAATTTTAAACAAGAAAGAAGAGCGAAGCCTCACATTTAAGAAGCTGGAACCATATGATGTTTGGCATTTTTGCATGAAAATTAATTAAAAGGATTAATCAGTTATCAAAATAGTTGCGGGTTAATTTTCAGTCAACCGACTAATCAATTAATCGACTAATTGTTTCTAATTCTACATACTACTGGATAGTTTTATAATAATGCATCATGTTTTATAAGATCATCATAGGTCAACTGGTAACTAGAGCTTTAAATAAATGTAGTGGAGTAAAAAGTTTTATTAAAATTAGATAATTATGTAGAAAATCCAGTAATC